TACTAAAAATACAAAAAATTAGCCAGGCGAGGTGGCGGGCGCCTGTAGTCCCAGCTACATGGGAGGCTGAGGCAGGAGAATGGCGTAAACCCGGGAGGCGGAGCTTGCAGTGAGCTGAGATCCGGCCACTGCACTCCAGCCCGGGCGACAGAGCGAGACTCCGTCTCAACAAAAAAAAAAAAAAAAAAAAAAAAAAAGAAGATTTCCATGATAAAAAGTTGAAATGTAAAGAAAAAAAGATCTGTTCATGTCCTTAGCCCATTTTTCTAATGAACTGTTCATCTTTTTCTCACTGATTTTTATGGCTCTATATAAATTGAGATGCTTAATATATGTTGCACATATTTTTCCAGTTTGTCATTTGTCTTTTTGCTCCTGCCATTCTTCACTATACAGACACTGAAAATAACATACGCTGTAAAAACTGCTGTCAAATCTTTTACTTTATAGGTTTCTATTTGGTGTTAAACTTAGAAAGACTTTTCCCATACTGGAATTCTATTAACATTTACCTATATTTCCCTTTAAGATTTATTGAATTTTTTTTTTTTTTTTTTTTTTTTTTTTGAGACGGAGTCTCGCTCTGTCGCCGGGCTGGAGTGCAGTGGCCGGACCTCAGCTCACTGCAAGCTCCGCCTCCCGGGTTCCCGCCATTCTCCTGCCTCAGCCTCCCGAGTAGCTGGGACCACAGGCGCCCGCCACCTCGCCCGGCTAGTTTTTTGTATTTTTAGTAGAGACGGTGTTTCACCGTATTAGCCAGGATGGTCTCGATCTCCTGACCTCGTGATCCGCCCGTCTCGGCCTCCCAAAGTGCTGGGATTACAGGCTTGAGCCACCGCGCCCGGCCTAGATTTATTGAATTTTAAAGGAGTCCTGTAAATGAATATACCTTTCCATTCAGCGAAATATACCACCACTGTAACATTAGCTGGAATTAAAAACAACAACATCTGCATCAGTCGCAACTTCAGAAAGATGTGCTGTAAATGTCATCATCCACATAGAAGGGAAGTGATAGGACCCACCAAGGATTTAACACACTTATTGGTTTTATTCCCCATGGATCCTTATTTTAAAGAGTTTCTATGCATTAAATAACTAATTTGTTTTAACTCATTTAATTAAATTTGTTTTAATAAAACAAGTGTTCTATAACTTCTAGTCAGAGTTCCTGATCATTGCCTCATGGTCTTTTCACTAAGGTCAAATACAAGGTTCCTGATCATCATGAAGTACCACAGTTACTAACACTTAGTATACAAAAATCTAAAACGTTTATCAACAAAATGTGGTATATACATACAACGGGATATTATTCAGTTTTCAGAAGGATGGGAATTCGGCTGGGCGTGGTGGCTCATGCCTGTAAACCGGGCACTTCGGGAGGCCTAGCTGGGAGGACTGCTTGAGCCCAAGAGTTCAAGACCAGCCTGGGCAACATAATGAGACCTTGTCTCTATAAACAACAGCAAGAACAAAAGGATGCAAATGCTGACATATGCTATAACATGGATGAACCCTGAGGACATCATGCTAAGTGAAATAAGCCAGTCATGAAAGGGCAATTACTGTGTGATTCCACTTATATGAGGTACCTAGAGTCGTCAAATTCGTAGAGATAGAAAATAGAGGGGTGAGGCCGAGCGTGGTGGCTCAAGCCTGTAATCCCAGCACTTTGGGAGGCCGAGACGGGCGGATCATGAGGTCAGGAGATCGAGACCATCCTGGCTAACACGGTGAAACCCCGTCTCTACTAAAAATACAAAAAACTAGCCAGGCTAGGTGGCGGGGGCCTGTAGTCCCAGCTACTCGGGAGGCTGAGGCAGGACAACGGCGTGAACCTGGGAGGCGGAGCTTGCAGTGAGCTGAGATCCGGCCACTGCACTCCAGCCTGGGCAACAGAGTGAGACTCCATCTCAAAAACAAAAAAAAAAGAAAATAGAGGGGTGAATTCCAAGGGATGCAGGGAGGGGAAAACAAGGAGTTTGGGTTTAACAGGTCTGGAGTTTCAGTTTGGGAATCTGAACAAAGTTCTAGACAGAAGTGATGGTTGCATGACAACATGAATGTACTTAATGCCACTGAACCATACACTTAAAATTATTTTTCTTTTTCTTTGAGACAGAGTTTCACTGTGTCATCCAGGCTGGAGTGCAGTGGTGCAACCTCTGCTCACTGCAACCTTACAGCAACCTCAGCCTCCCAGGTTCAAGCAATTCTTTCACCTCTGCCTCTCAGGTAGCTGGGATTACAGGTGTGTGCCACAATGAGTGGTTAATTTTTGTATTTTTAGTACAGACAGGGTTTCACCATGTTGGCCAGGCTGGTCTCGAACCCCTGGCCTAAAGGGATCCACCTGCCTCAGCCCCCCAAAGTACTGGGATTATAGGCGTGAGCCACCCCACCCAACCAGGGTGATAAATTTTATGGCACGCACATTTTACCACAAAAAAATTAGCATGTTAGAATTTAGAAATTAAATTAACACTATCTCAGCCAAATTTTAAAAATTTGACATTTTAATTACATATTCCATGCAGTCTCAACTACAGACAAATGTACAATTTCTGTAAGGCTTTTGGTAATACTGAAATGCTTCACAGAATCCTAAACAGAAACCCATGCAGTAACTAAATCACAGCATTTCTTAAGAGAAATGCGTTTAAACTCAATGTTTAAATGCGTTTTACAAATCACATGCATAGTTGAGCCACTCTATATCTTCACTCTCTCCAGGAGATTGTTAGTTGATGCTGTAAATGAGTAGAAGAGATGAAGAAACATTCCCACCTAGCTTAGCCATGTACATGGTAGCCACTCCACAAACCTTCCTGAATTCAGATACTGGAATCTACAGCAAAATCAAAAAGAAAACCTGGGCTTCCCACTGTCCTATAAACTATCCAGTGAGAGGGCTGAAATTTGACCTGATCCTTCTTTCATTACTCGCCATCTCAGCGTCAATGTTGGATGATTCCATTTAAAACAGGCTTCAGGTACCACACATTGCTTTATGGGTTAAAAATCTTTTTCTATTCAGAGTTTTGGTAGGTAAAAAACTGTGAATAACCAAACTAGCACTCTTAGAACTCCATATGCAAGGCTGAAAGGTAAATATGATTTAAATATGATTTATACACACAAACTTTCTAAATGAAGAGGACATTATTTTAAAATAAACAATAGTAAATGCATAAAGTTCGTATTTCTCAACCACGGGAAGTAATCATGACTTCCTAATCATCTTCCATGTATGAAAGTTCCATTGTGTTGAAAACATTTTTCCCCATATTCCTCCCTCTAATTCAGCACTACGGACTTTAACTTTGGAAGCCAACACCTCCCCACATAATGTAAAAAACAAAACCAAAAATAAATAAACCTGCTACTTCCACAGCCCTAATACACAGCTCTTAAAATTCTTAAAGGAAATTCACATCGTCTAACAACTTTCATACAAATTAAGTACTATTCTTCCAACTGAGGAACTAAACATCAAATTTAGCTATTCACAATTTATTCATATCAGCACTTTCATGCCAGTTATCTAACGAGGACTTCACTAGAAGACAGGACACTTGTGACTCTCCCATTCAGAACGTGGCTATCACTGCACAACGCGAGATGAGTCTGCCCGTGGCCTCTCTGGATTGCAGCCTGGCTATGTGCAAGGTGCCCTATCACTTGTCATCCATCACGATCTCACACCCCAGCAATCTGGCGCTGCGGAGCCCGGGGAGAACTTTCCAGGACCACGGCACCATTCCCAGCGGGTTTGTCTGCAAGAACTTCAACTGAGAAATGGAGACCCCAGACACGGAGGAAGAGGCACAAAGGAAGGCACTCACACCCACCCCTACAACGGGTTTTTATGTTCTTCAAAACCTTCGAAATAACTTCCTCTGTGCTTTTTCATAAACCTGCCTATGGCAATGACTTAATGGATATCCTTAAGGTGCTGAACTACTGTAAAACAAAAGGGGGGTGGGGGGAGACCCCAAAGAGATCCAGGAGACAGTTCCTGGCGAGGGGAGTTGATTATCCCCGACGGGAAAGTCTTAAGAGACTTTCTGATGACAAGGGCAGTTCAGCAGGTAGAAGGAATAGGTCCCTAACGGACATCAACCCCGGAGAGGGCTGTGTCACCCTCACTTCCTTCCACAAAGCCAGGCCACCCTCACCTTCCCACCCCTGAAGCGGTGTCACCACAGGAAGAAGTAGACACCTTCCAGCTAATTATCCCAAGCGGGTCAAACTTTGGAATCGGCGTCCTGCTCCGTGTTGTGGAGCGCATGGCAAAGAGGAAGGGTTGGTGCTGGGAGCAGAATCTCCGTGATTTGCCAGAGGAAACAGCACAGACTCCAGACAGCAGAAGCGCCGGGATTTCCATGCAGCTGCCACGACAGGTGACCGGGCCCGCTCTGCAGACACCCGGCTTGCCCGGGGGCTTCGCGGAAGGTGGGGCGGGCGGGCTGGGGAGACCGGCCCGGCAGGGGAGGTGGCGGCGCGGCCGGGGAAGCCGCTAGGGCCCGACGCCGGGGAGGAAGAGGAGGAGCGCAGCCCAGTCTCCCTGGGGAAACCGTTTTCAGGGATTTTCTGTCTCCACAATTAAGAAAAAAAAAAATGGCTCCAAGCCAAACGCCTCCCGATCTCACACACACACCACACGCACCACCCCACACGCACGCCCGCCCCGCGCTCAGCTTTCGCCCCATTTTCTCACACGCGGAGACAAAAGGCTCCCACAGCCAAGCAGCGGCCACGGCCGCCGGGCGCGGGTCAGACGCCCCCTCGCGCCGCCCCCTCCCGAGACTCCCGCAGCCGCCGCCCCGACCCCCGCCCGCCGCGCTCACCAAGCCCGCCGCGCCGACCCCGGGGCCCGCCGCAGGGGGACACACGCCCGGCGGGGCAGGGACGGCGCTCGGGCCGGCGCCCCCTCCCGCGGGACTGCGCGGCGCCCAGCCCGCCGCGGCGGCGACAGCGGCCCGGCGCCCGCTCACCTCCGGGCGGCCGTAGCGGCAGCCCCAGCGGCTCCTCCGCGCCTCTCCGCCTCCGGCAGCCCCGCGTCGCCGCCGCCGCCGCCGCCTCCCCCAGCGTCTCGGCCGAGTCTCCGCCTCCCTCCACCGCCACCGCCGCCGCCGCCGGCCCGGCTGCGCGCCACGTGACCGCGCCACGTGACCCGGCGCGGCGAGCGGCGCCTCCCCGGCCGGCGCTACCGCTCCGGCCCCCGCCGCCGGCCGTTGGCGCCCCCCGGCAGCCCTCCTTCCCGGCTTAGGGCTCGCGTGCCCCACGCCCCGCCGCGGGCCGCCGCGCCGCCCGCCACCGGATCCGCCGCCTGCCCGAGCCACCTGCTCGCACCCCAGGCGCCGCCACCCCAGAAGACCCCCGCCCCCGGCCCGCACCGCGCCACGGTGCCCACGATGCCCACAGTGCCGGGCCTAGGCCTCCAGTCTCCTGGCTCGGGACGGCCTCAGCACCCGGGCACCGCGCCGCTAGCGAGCCGTCTGAACTTCGTTTGAGCCGGAAGTGGACGTCCCAGTCCCATTATGTCTTACAGGGAAAGCCGCCGGGAGCACAGAGGCGCTGGCACCACCGACCCGCGCAGCTCCCCGGGAAAACGGTCACCGGAGTGGCCGCGATGGTGACATCCCAGACAGAGGATCTCTTATTCAGTTGTCTATGGAGAAAGGACTGGATAGCGTCATTTTAACTTAGGGAAGAACAATTCACAGCCTTCCGCCTCCTGTTAAATGGATGTCCTGTTAACAACGAAACTTCATACTCTCTCCTTTTTCCAGCTTGTGCAAAGAAATAGCATAACTGATTGTGTGACTCTTCACACGTGTGGTTAACAAAACAACAACAAAAAAAGCAGCATTCTTTTTTCCTTGATTTGCAGCATTAGAGGCCCCATATGGTTAGGAATAGCAGCCACTCTTCCGCAAGGGCTCAGCATTGTTTTCTAGTTTGCTTGTCTGCAAAAGTTTTCGAATCCGTTTCAGACTTAAGAATTCCTGATTCTGTGACTATTGTCAAAAAAAAAAAAAAATGTTGGACCGAGTTTGTTAAATTCTGAAATTCCATGCCTCGCCTCAGCCTCCCGAGTAGCTAGTGACTACAGGTACCCGTCACCGTGCCCAGCTCATTTGTGACTTTTTTTTTTTTTTGAGTGTAGGAGTCTCGCTTTGTTGCCCTGGCTCATCTCGAACTCTTGGCTCCAAGTGATCCTCCTGCCTCTGCCTTTCAAAGTGTTGGGATTACAGGCATCAGCCACTACACTTGGCCTTATTTTATAAATTTTGACAAATGCTACCTAGACTTTTTTTATTTTAAAAAAGGTAAACCAAGCGTGGCGTGTAGTCCCAGCTACTCTGGAGGCTGAGGCGGGTGGATCCCTGGAGACCAGGAGCTGGGGGCTGCAGTGAGCTATAATCATGCCTGTGGACTCCAGCCTGAGCATAGCGAAACTCGGCTTTAACAAAAGAAAATTAAATTTTAATTTAAAAGTAACTAAAACAAGAATAGTTGCCTCATGTTTGAATAAATATAAATGCACTTAACTGTGGTCCCAGCTACTCTGGAGGCTGAGGCACGAGAATCCTTCGAACCCCGGGAGGCAGAGGTTGCCGGAAGCCGAGATTGCACCACTGCACTCCAGCCTGGGTGACAGAGTGAGACCCTGTCTCAAAAAGATTATATATATATTATATATGTAAAATGCACTTAATAAAAGTATTAAGATCAGCATTATTTGATGCTATTTTATAAGCACTCCGAAACTTAATTTTGAAAACTTTAATAAAACTGCATTTATGTCTTAAAGTACCTTAAAAGATAATCTTCATTCAATGTAATTAGTATTGCACTTCAGTTTAGTGCTCACTATTGTGTTAAATACTGTGGAGAGATCAAAGGAAGAATATGGTCCTTCAAAATTTAAAATTTCTAGAGAGTTACTTTAAAATACGTGCATAACTTTTTTTTTTTTTTTTTTTTTTTTTTTTTTTTTGAGACGGAGTCTCCGCCGGGCGCGGTGGCTCAAGCCTGTAATCCCAGCACTTTGGGAGCCGGGCGGATCACAAGGTCAGGAGATCGAGACCATCCTGGCTAACACGGTGAAACCCCATCTCTACTAAAAAAATACAAAAAACTAGCCGGGCGAGGTGGCGGGCGCCTGTAGTCCCAGCTACTCGGGAGGCTGAGGCAGGAGAATGGCGTGAACCCGGGAGGCGGAGCTTGCAGTGAGCTGAGATCCGGCCACTGCACTCCAGCCTGGGCGACAGAGCGAGACTCCGTCTCAAAAAAAAAAAAAAAGACGGAGTCTCGCTCTGTAGCCCAGGCTGGGATGCAGTGGTGTGATCTCGGCTCACTACAACTTCCGCCTCCCAGGTTCAAGCAATTCTCCTGCCTCAGACTCCCGAGTAGCTGGGATTACAGGCGCTGCCACCGTGCCCATCTAATTTTGTATTTTTAGTAGAGACGAGGTTTCACCATGTTGCCCAGGCTGGTCTCCAACTCCTGACCTCAGGTTATCTGCCCACCTTGGCCTCTCCAAAGTGCTGGGATTACAGGCGTGAGTCACCACGCCTGGCCAAAATGTATATGTAACTTTTTTTTCTTCTTCTTCTTTTTTTTGAGAGGGAGTCTCGCTCTGTCGCCCAGGCTGGAGTGCAGTGGCCGGATCTCAGCTCACTCAAGCTCCTCCTCCCGGGTTTACGCCATTCTCCTGCCTCAGCCTCCCGAGTAGCTGGGACTACAGGCGCCCGCCACCTCGCCCGGCTATATTTTTGTATCTTTTAGTAGAGACGGGGTTTCACCGTGTTAGCCAGGATGGTCTCGATCTCCTGACCTCGTGATCCTCCAGTCTCGGCCTCCCAAAGTGCTGGGATTACAGGCTTGAGCCACCGCGCCCGGCCCTTTTTTTTTTTTTTTTTTTTTTTTTTTTTTGCGACGGAGTTTCACTCTTGTTGCCCAGGCTAGAGTGCAATGGCGCAATCTCAGCTCACCACAATCTCCGCCTCCCAGGTTCAAGCGATTCTCCTGCTGCAGCCTCCCCAGTAGCTGGCATTACAGGCATGTGCCACCACGCCCGGCTAATTTTGTATTGTTAGTAGAGACGGGGTTTCTCCATGTTGGTCAGGCTGGTCTCGAACTCCTGACCTCAGGTGATCCACCCGCCTCAGCCTCCCAAAGTGCTGGGATTATAGGTACGAGCCACTGTGTCCTGCCTATACATAACATTTTTTAAACGCTTTCTCTCTCGCGCGTGCTCTCTCTCTCTCTCTCTCTCTCACACACACACACACACACACACACACACACACACAGATCAGGGATCAGCATTCATTTCCCTGACCTGGAGCAAATTATGGAAAATGTGACCCTTGCTGTCAGACTAAAGAACAAAAGGATTAAAGATGAACTTTCTTGGCTCAATAAATACAATCTATATAACAGTATAAAAATGATATAACAAATACCATCAAGAATGAATAATACAGGTGTTCTTTCTTCTGCAAAATGAAACAAATAATACTCACCTTGAAACTACTCTTCTACTAATACCACAGTTTTCCATAAGGCCCACACGTATAAACTCTCTTTTATCCAGCACTTCTTGGGTACAAATACACCCAACTCTCAGCAAAACTGAGAAGTCCCTCAAGTTTGTTTTCTGCCTGTGTCAGTTTGCACAGTGTCAGTGGTTTTGCAAATGTCTTTGGAGCAAGTATCTTCGCTGAAGTCCTGGTTCTACCACTTGCTAACAAGTGACAAGAACAATATTCCAAATGCTGTGTCTTTAGCCATACATTCAAAAAACAATGTCTACCTCACAGGGCTGTTGAAATAGTCAAATAAAACATGTAAAATATATGCCTGGCACACAAGAGGTGCTCAATCAAAAAATAATACTTCGGCCGAGCACAGTGGCTCATGCCTATATTCCCAGTACTTTAGGAGGGCAAGGCAGGTGGGTCACCTGTGATCATGAGTTCAAGACCAGCCTGACCAACATGACAAAACCCCATCACTGCTAAAAATACAAAAATTAGCCAAGCATGGTGGCACACACCTGTAATCCCAGCTACTTGTGAGGCTGAGGCAGGAGAATCACTTGAACCCAGGAGGCAGAGGTTGCAGTGAGTCGAGATCATGCCACTGCACTCCACCCTGGGCAACACAGCGAGACTCCGTCTCAATAATAATAATAAGCCAGGTGCGGTGGCTCACGCCTGTAATCCCAGCACTTTGGGAGGCCAAGGTGGGCGGATCACCTGAGATCGGGAGTGTGAGACCAGCCTGACCAACATGGAGAAACCCTGTCTCTACTAAAAATACAAAAAATTAGCTGGGCATGGTGGCGCATGCCTGTAATCCCAGCTACTCAGGAGGCTGAGGTACAAAAATGACTTGAACCCAGGAGGTGGAGGTTGCGGTGAGCTGAGATTGTGCCATTGCACTCCAGCCTGGGCAAAAAGAGTGAAACTCCATCTCAAAAAAAAAAAATACGACTACTACTAACAATAATACCTCCAGCCTGAACATGGTGAAACCTCGTCTCTACTAAAAATACAAAAATTAGCCTGGCGTGGTGGCGGGCACCTGTAGTCCCAGCTACTCAGCAGGCTGAAGCAGGAGAATTGCTTGAACCTGGGGGACAGAATTTGCAGTAAGCCAAGATTGTGTCACTGCACTCCACCCTGGGCGACAGAGTGAGTCTCCATCTCAAAAATAATAATAATACCTAAGGACCAGACACGGTGGTGGCACACACCTGTAGTCCCCTGCTACTCGGTGGCTGAGGTGGGAGGATCACTTAAGCCCAGGAGTTAGAGGTTGCAGTGAGCTGTGATCAAGCCATAGCCCTCCAACCTGGGCGACAGAGTGAGACCCTGTTTCTGAAAAATAACAATGATAATAATAGCTAAGTTTTATTAAATGCTTATCATGGGCCAAACTCTGTGCCTTGTTTGTTCTTATTTTTGCTGTTCTTTCTGTTCCCTGTTTCCCTCAGTGTTTGCCTTCTGGCCCCTACCTTACCCCTGCCCCCTGAGGAATCTACTCTCCCTCTGCATGTTCAGAATGAAAGTG